ACCCCAATGCTTATTAAACTCAGTTAATCACCATTACAAAAGCCTGCGGTGTTTTATCGGCCACTTGAATAAGTCATAAAACATGGTGTCAGAAATTAACCAGTTCTAACCTCAGCGCATTTGTCATAAAAAAGATTTCTGCAACACCAAAATTCGACTCCAGGGTCAACACTGCAGAACAATGGCGAGCCTGCAAGTTGTACCTCAAGGCAACTAACCCAGCCAGAGCACCATCTTACTGGTAAGTAGCACTTTTTTCTACCGTCGGAGGCTCTTCACTGCTTGATATATACAACACTTCTGATTTCGGGGAATCAAATACAGAAAGACCAAATCTAAAATTCTAAAAATCTAAAAAATCGTCGTGCATTGCTCGAAGTACGTGTTGTCACAGACTTGTAGGCACAACTAGAAGTAGGAGAGGGCCTACGCCGGAATAATTCTTTTTGTAAAGAACGCCATCCTTTACGACGAAACGCCGTTGACCGTTCGTTCCGAAAATAAAGAAAGAAGCGAGACTGTTGTCATTGCTTTGCTCTGCTCGAAAAGTTGTTAGGTCAGGAAACGAAGTATCCACTACAGCCAAATATTCATCAAAGTTGTCAGCGTCACACTCGGTTGTCGGAAAGGGAAGTCGTCAAAGGCAATCGGCGTCAGCATGACGACGACCGCTCTTGTAACAGACTTCAAAGTTGTGTTCTCGCAATCGTAATGCCCAACGATCAAGACGACCAGATGGGTCCCGTAGTCCAGTGAGCCAACATAATGAATGGTGGTCCGTGACAATCGAGAATCAGCGTCCATAGATATAAGGGCGAAACTTGTGCACGGCGAATATGACCGCGAGACATTCCTGCTCTTTGACAGTATAGTTTCGCTCCGGTTTACTTAAACAGCAACTGGCATAGGCAATGACGTGTTCAGCAGCTGCATGGCGTTGGACCAAGACGGCGCCGATACCTACACCAATGGCGTCGGTATGAACTTTTGTGGCAGCAGGGAAGTCATAGTGGCAAAGTACAGGCCCTGACGTAAAAACAAACTTGAGTTGCGAAAAAGACGACTCGCATTCCGCTGACCACCGAAAAGGTGCGTTCTTGTTGAGTAGAGACGTCAAAGGGTAAGCGAGGTCGGCGAACCTGGGCACGAAGCGACGGAAGTACGAGCATAGGCCCAAAAAGCTTCGCAACTCTCGTATTAATTGACAGAGGTTGTTTGAAGCTACTGACTGCAGCGACTTCCTGGGGGTCGGGTCGAACGCCATGCTTGTCCACCAGCTAGGTGACCGAGAACGAGAGTCTCACGGCTGAAAAGTGACACTTCTTAGAGTTCAGGGTGAGCTTAGCTCTCTCAAGGCAGGTGAGAACAATGTCTAGACGATGGTTGTGTTCATCAAATGTACGGCGAAAAAATATAATGTCATCCAGGTGGCAAAGACAAACTTCCCACTTTAGTCCACGTAACACAGAGTCCATGAAGCGCTCAAACGTGGCTGGAGCGTTGCATAGGCCAAACGGCATTACATTGAATTTAAATAGACCATCTGGGGTTATGAAGACCGTTTTCTCTTTGTCATTCGGGTGCATGGGGATTTGCCAATAACCAGATCTCAAATCAACGGAGGAGAAGTACGATGTCGAATGTAAACAATCAATGACATCATCAATCCTGGGAAGTGGGTAGACATCCTTTTTAGTAACAGAGTTGAGCCATCTGTAATCCACGCAGAATCGCCATGTACCATCCTTCTTTCGGACAAGAATCACAGGGGCAACCCAAGGACTACACGACTCTTGGATGACCCTTTTTTTTAACATCTCTTCTATCTGTTGAGCAATGACCTTGCGTTCCGCAGATGAGACACGGTATGGTTTCTGCCAGATAGGTGAGCGGATCCTGTGTCAATCCCATGGCGAGTACGCAACTCGGGTACATTTATTTTCTCTTCATTCTGTGCAAAGTCAAATATAGTAGCGTGCTTTGCAAGGACTTCGACCAAAGCTTTACGTTTTTCTGATGATAGCGACTTGTTTACCATACTCAGAAAGTTGGCTTCTGTATGGTACGTTGCACGAATAGGGTCTACACTCTCGTCGCTTAAAGATGCAATAAAACTGGTCGCATTTTGTTCGAAGAGGGCGAGTCGCATTCCACAGGGTAGTATGACAGGTTTATTTGAATAGTTCGACACCCATAAGGCCGATCGCCTATCACTGATCAACAGAACACAATGTGGAACGAGCACATTTTTCTTGGTGCAATTGAGAGGAATGGGCTCCACAAGAACATCACACTTTCCGGCGTCGGAGGCAGAGGCGTCAACGCGTACGGTCTTCATCGAGTTGGGCGGCAAGACAACATCCTCAATGACGGTGATAGATCCTTGACAGCGCCTAGGATCGTCAGTAAATGCGGATAGCATAATCTCGCCAGCATCGCAATCTACAGTAGCCCCGCACTCTCGTAGAAAATCGATCCCCAAAATGATGTCATGAGTGGAGCTGGTCAGGACACAGCGAATTCAGCCTCGAAGACCTTGTCACCCAGAGTGACACTAACAACACACACACCGATTGGGCATAATGTCTCCCCGCTCACTGCACGAAATGATGCAAAACTGTCCCAGCGAAACATCACTTTATGTCCTAGCCGCAATTTGAAGTTAAGACTCATCACTGAAACAGCTGCTCCAGTATCTATCAAAGCCATCGTAGGAAGTCAATCAATAAGCACAGGGACCCTATTTTGCGTCATAAAAACGGGTGGAGGCATAGGCGGATGTAGTGAAAAATGTTCGGCGACCTCACCTCCATTGGCCGCACCACCTAGTTTCCCGGAGGCGGGGAGGTGACGCGTTTACCAGGAGATGGGGAACGAAACTGGCGTGTTGTGGGGGGCATCAAGCTTCGCACGAAGGAAGGCGAGTCGTTGCGTAAATTCCAGTGAAAATTGCATCCTACATGTGTATCACTGTGGGTCGTTTGCTGGAAGCCGTCCCCAGCGTACGCGTCCCGCATTGAGCGCATACCACCGCGCCAGCAGTTTTGTCAAGAAGACGCTGATGATCCCTCGTAGTAGCACTGCTGGGGGCGACACCTTTGACCACAGAATCGAGCCACATGTCCACGAAAACCGCAGTTATAGCACACAGGGGCCTCATGCACGTCGCCAAACCTTCCACGAGGCGCCATGTGCCCATGATTGTCCCACGAAGACACCATTGTAGGTGGGAGGCATTCTGGAAACCACGGCAATGATGTAAGTTGTCGGTTGGGGGCTCTGGTGCTCTTGATTGGGGCACGTCATATAGTGTGGCATCAATGGCAGCACACATTGCGTCGTATGGCGGGGAGGTGTTGATAGCAGGTGCCTTCGGCGGGTTGACAGCAATCACGTCGTCCAAGTTCTTCGCGTATGATTTGCCTGATCATTGAGGCAAGATCACAGGAGGATGTTGGAGGGACGTCAACACTTGCAACGGTGGTGACGTTGGCAAGTCTACCAAATTTGGGAGTGATGCACCTAGTCTTCAGGATCTCAAACGTGCGGCAGTGTTGTATTACATCCGCTACAGATGCCAAGGTGTCCTTGCCGATGAGGAAATCGTAGACATCCTCAGCAACCCCTTTGAGGAGATGCCCTACCTTGTCATTTTCTTTCATGCGTGGGTCTACAGGCTTGCACAATTTCAGAATCTCTTCAATGTACGTTGTGCATGTTTCACCGGGGACTTAAGCACGCTGCATCAAAGTTTTCTCAGCACGCTTCTTCTTCATCAATGGGTCCCCGAAGCAGCTCGCTATTTCTTTCTCAAACGCTTCCCAGGTCGGTGTTCTTTCTTCGTGGTTTTCAAACCACACCAACGCCGTCCCTTGAAGAAACAATCCGACGTTGGACAACCGGGAGGCCGCATTCCAACAATTGTATTTACTCACACGGTTGAAGTGTTTCAGCCACTCGTCGACGTCTTCTCCGACCCACCCAGAGAAGCTGCGTAGTACTATGTGTTGGGGCCACGCAGAGCCAGACGAAGAGTGCGTGGTGTCGCCATCAGCTATTGGATCCATATAGAGCGGTGGTAGACCAGCCAGTCGGCGACTTCAGCGTAGTTCTTGAGGTAGCGCTTCCGTGATTGTTCGACTGGGATCGCTCTGCTGTACCCCGCACCTTCCACCAATCTTGTTACGCTGAGATGCCTTTATTTACAGGAAATGATGAATGCGAGAGTCCAGGGATCTGTCCGATCACCGCTCATGCCAACCTCGTTCTCCTCTTCTTCCACCCGTCCCCTCAGTATCGTAGCAATATATATATATATATATCCATCCCTGTACTACATGCTGGAGAAAAATGACTGCAAGGACTTAACGTGAAGATGGGCTTTCCACACGATGAAGAAATTCCTGAAATGCATTTGATCCTCGAGGAACTTCCCCCTCAGCAATGAAATTTACTTGGCTAATGCTACACAAAACTAAATTTTTTGATGGAGTACCCTTGTACCAAACATCTTCATGCATTCTTCTCTAGCGTATTCACACAGAAAGAAAAAAATGTTTGCAACCAATCAACATGAAAGGAGACCTAATCATTACTGCTGCTACATGTGAATTACATGTGAAACGACTCAATCAAGGCCATCAACTGCTTTTGAAATGAGCAACATCAACAGTTACACTGCTTGTGCATAGGACCCGACAACCACCATCTTCAACATGCTGTGCATGCCCACATAACGTTATACACTTGACCAAACAACTCACTCCAGCGATGGTGCATGCCAGTGTGTTTTATGTATCAAAGGTGGAACTTAAACATGAGAAGATGAAACTGATGTTGTCCTATAAAGAACGTAAAGAGTTCCTGATAGCAGTAGAAAGATAGAAAAGCTATTCATATAACATTTTTCTATACATATTGAGCATTTTGACAACAGCCGAGATAATATTATTTCTATACAGACTCTCGAAACTATGTAAGCTATAAATCATAATCAAAAGTAGCCCGATAGCACGGTGGCAGGTGCCATTCTTGACAGTGTATTCCAAACAATGATCTTTGATGTATCTGTAATAATTAGCAATAGCAGGCTCTGTCTTCTCTGGCTTTGACAACAAAGGAGGAACATAGAGGAGCATAGGGTCCCTGCACAAAAAACAAAAACAGTGTTTACGAAGCGAAGACACCTTCAAAGCCATGCATTGGCTCATGTACAGGGGCACTACAAGGATATGTGAACTCCGAGGTGCGGGACACGAGAACCCTGACATGCACTGGAGTAAGTCAACATAATTTATATATCAAACGAAGGGTACAGTACTCGCAAATTAAAACACAATATTTTGGTCCAATAATGTGCATACTTTTGTTTCTCTCATCTACAGTTCATGTCATTACCTGCCAGATTTGCAGCGACGTTCCCCGGTTATCATGCGCAACTGCTCAAGGCACTCATTATATGAAAAAAAAAAACTTTCACATTTAAATTTGGGACTATAGCGCATGTTGCTGGAATACAGCACAATGCTACTCAAAAGTTTTATGCTTTAGTATTGTTATTTATGCTCAGTGCCACTGTTAATTTTCTTTGATACAAATTACAAAACTTGAACAAATGCTTGATACTTTCTAGCTCTAAGAGGAGGTCTTGATGGAAGCGGACTGAATACAATTTCTTCATTCAATACTTGCATCTAAGTACATTCTTTGTTATGCTTTTCCAGATTCCATAAAACGCTGCAAGTTTTTTTTTTTTCATAACTTTTCACCGAACAACACTTTTATATTACAGAATTCCCCCCTAAAAGTGAAAAAGATGGATGCACAAAAGTGCACTCTACAACATGAGTGCAGGAGACATCATCCAACTGAACCAACTGATCGCAGAAGGTGGGAGAAATCAGTGATGTCAATATTGAAAAAAGCTGGATGGCAATCTTTCCTCCTGTCAGACAGTCTGCATCCACCTGTCGCAGGGGTCTAGTAGTTACGGTATTTTACTGCTCAATCGCGGAAGCGAATTCCATGGCAGCCACATTTCAGTGAAAGTGAGTGCATTTAGACTTAGGTGCATGTTAAAAACCGCAGGTGGTCGTGATTTTTGGGGCTCTTCACTGCGACATCTCTCATAGGATCATGATTTTTTTAAATGTAAAACCCTTAGAATTATTAATTACTGTTTTGCATTTCATTACACTGCAAAGGGTTTATATGACGAAAAACTGAATATTCAAGCATTAAACTTTTATACATTACCAAAAAAAACACAGCCATTGCTAACTACAGTAACTTCTCTCAAAGAGAAATCGGCTATAGTGACTGATTACTGCCATGAGAAGTAATTCACTGCATGTAGATTACTTTCATTGCAAGCTTTAATAACATTTTACTAAAGCTGTGGGTAGAATGAGCTGGCCTAGTTATCTGACTCTGCCCTGAGGGCCCTTCGTACAATGATTTTCACCAACTAATGCTTTCGAAATTTTTTAATACTAATAAAAAATTTGCGGTTCCGAGCCTCAAAAAAGTAATATAATTATGAAAGACGCCATAGTGGAGGGCTCCGGAACTTTTGGCCATCTGGTGTACTTTAACATGCATGAACATTGCTCAGTACGCGGTTCAATTTTTTTACAATCTTTTTATTATTATTATATCTTATTATTATTATTATTATTATTATTATTATTATTATTATTATTATTATTATTATTATTATTATTATTATTATTATTATTATTATTTTAGCAAGATCAGCATCTACAATGAAAGCTTGAAATGCATGCCCTGTAGGGAATGGTGATGTGATGCACCAGATCACCGTTCGCCATTATCTGTGTGGAAGACAAACATGAAGGATTTTTCCCTCCATGAATAGGGACTGATGTTTACAGTTCTGGAACCAATGGCAAATGACTCAGCACATTTGCCATCGTAGTGAGTCCAGCATCCCCAACAAATGCATCACTAACAACCTTTAAAATGGCAATTTGCAGTATATTACTAACAAAGTCCGGTTTTCAGTGCTCATTCTTCTTGGTGCATCGATCAATCTTGAAAGGCACAAACATTCTCATGCACTTTGATTCTTTCCTTTTCAGTTCTCAAGCTGTATGTACTTACTTGTGGGATAAGATGTGCCTGAAATGCTTTTCCCATTTTTGCTGACGATCAGGATAAAACATTATCAAACTCTTTGCATGATAACATTAGCAAACCAGCTTGCATAAAGATAGCTACAGACAATTCAAGGGACCTTAAGATGTTTTTTTTTCTGTTTGTGTGACCGGTTAGTTGCTTAAAGTAGCAACAGGCAACAAAAAAGCACTGCAGTTCAAAAGACAGAGATGATGAAAAGGCACACGCAGAGGTACTGGTGGGTCCGTATTTAACTTTGTCTCCTAAATTATGCTGCTCTTTTAACAATCATGCACAGTGTCGTCCACTCTTATGGTGAACATGGCTTCGTGTGGCTTCTCTCTCCAGAGCACCAGTGCAGCTGGCACAGCTGTGCATTGAAGCTTAGTGACGTGCATGCGCACGCGGACACAAGGGAGATACTCTGCATCATCTACAAAATCATTGAAGTGCGCTGCTCAGTAGTAGCCAGGTGCCGGTCTTGCTGCAGTACATTAAGACCAGCAAGCTCGTGTGTGCCTGCACTGCTTCAAGTCGATGCAAAGCCATGGTGAATGCACTGGCACTCCACAGAGCGTTGCCACGCTGAGCGGTGTTCAGCCTAAGAGCCACTGTACAACAAAGCAGTCTACCAATACTTCCTAAGCGAATTCTCAACTTACTAAGCGATTGGGATCCCAGGATAATTAATCAAGGCTAAGCTCCACGTCCCCCAGCTGTTTGCCAGCACACAGCTGAGCTTGTTTTGCGGAAATCCCAGCCACTATCTTTCGTGGGAATCCCAGTCACTGCCTGCACGCACTTTCTTCTCTGGTAAGCTGAGAATCTGGAAAGAACCCCAAGTTTGCTAGCAGGCTAACATTCTCTAATGACGACCACTCACGAGCGTAAATACAGGAACCATGACTGCAGACTTCCAGCATAAGTGGTGGGTGCCAAGATGCCGATCCCACATTAATCAGAAACAGCCCGATCCTTAGTGTACTATTGCGCTGCAGTCACTTGCTTAACTCCACTCACTATTTGCCTCGCACAGGCACATAATGCCACACCATCACACAATCTTTTGCTATATTTGCAGCCTAGAACCTAACAGGGGAAATTAACGGTGCTAGAGAAAAGAAACTACAAGATAAACACTGGTTGAACAGCTCATGCCAACATATAGAAAGTAGCAGCACAGACAGGCACTGCTTAATGTACGCCGCAGGCTCCAAAGTGTAGTATTGAACTGTGAATGTGCACTCTATCTGTCATTGTCTCTTTCTTTAAACAAGAAGAATGATCAAGTGTTTCAACTATTACAAACAACCTTATTTCACAATGTGATAGTAAAAATTTGCTTTATAGCATCCACAAGACTGCCCATCACATGTAGAGACATCTGTGACTTGGCGTACTCATCTAACATTCTATGTGCAGGAGTGACTGATAACTCAGTTGACAGCGTCACTGCAATCTGTACTAGTGTGCCTATTTGAAGCCTTATAATAAATTAAACATGTTATGCAGGGTGCCTAAATCGGTCGGCTAGTGACCCTAAGGACCTATAGTACCGGTCCAATTCATTTTTACTAGACTGACAAAACCGTTTCAGGGTAAACAGAATTTCACACAAATAAAATAAACACATTGCAGAATTTAACCCCATATTTTTCACATGGTAAAAAATATCCAAATACCATACTTAGAAATGGTATGAAGCATTGTTCACTGAAATATGACCATTAGTTTATGAGGAAAATAATGAGATATATGAGTTCCATTGACCCATGATGGGCTCTTTAACAAGTGGGACAACATCTGTCCCATTTCCTCCCCATGAGGGCATTATGCGGCAATACTTTCGCCAAAATTTTCACACAAGAAGGTTGGAAGTAAGTGATGAAAAAGGACACTTCATAAACTGTGCAAGAAAACTCTGGGCTCAACTCATTTCCGGCTTTGGTACACCATGGGAACCGGCGCCCATTGTGATGTGCCAGCGGCTTTGTGTAGCCTATTCATACATCAAGCATTTTAGCTCCTTTCTGTTTCTTCTCCGGGTGTCGATAAAGACAAGCACCTCAGTTATGCCTGAATTCACGCCCATGAATAAAATTATGGCAATGAATCAAGGCAAGCCATATCAATGTGGTGTCATCGAATGGACTGAATTCTGAAAATGCAGTTACATACACCAACCATGTCTCAGGTATCCACTTGTGTCATAGGTCATGTATATTCATGATAGCCTTAACTTCCTGACAGTCTAAAGCATCAATCTCAGCATTCTTTTTTTTTTTGCTCTTAATTTCAGGAACAATGTCCTAACCACAACTTGGTTTTCTTGCAATGTAGTCATAAAAAAAAAAAGAAATTTCAGGGCATTCTTTGTCATAAAACATTTCTTGCGACATAACAGCACCCGTAAAAGTTGAAAAATACATTTGGGGGGCAGAGGGGGGTCTGTTTCTTAGTTGGGCTTAATAAGAAACTGCTTCATTTTTGTTCGAGCATTCTACGACACGATTATTGGCCAATTTACTACAGTAATTCCAAAACAAAACCCATAGATTCATCCTACTACTACTTTTCTCAAAATTCAGAAAAGGGGAGAAATACTACAAATCCACAACTGTATAGATATGTGGCACAAAACGGAATAACTTTTAAAATTTTCTACAGTGCAAAGTGAATTTCAACTCAGTGTGTCATCGCCACCACGTACTGTAAACATAAATATTTTTTTTTCTCGGTTTCCTAAATGTTTTTTACCCATGAAAGAAATGAAAGAAAATTTAGCGCTGATTTCAATGTGCAGTGGAAGGGGAAGCTCTTACTGAAAAAGGAAAATTAGGACATATTCGTCCCATTATCCCTCAAAGAGTTAAATATGTCTTCACAGTAACCACATATTAGCAATTTAAAAAAAATAATGTGTCTCCTGACGCTGGGTGACCGAGCCAATACAGCTAATTTAATCGAGCAGCAATGATGGCAGCAGGGCAATTGCACCATCGTTCAGC